TAAATTACCAATGTACTAATTTTTATCATATTAATTTGTCTTGGATTTTGAAAAAGAGCTATTTTTACAATTTGCATAAATATTTTTTTTAACTTAAGGTATGGGCCTACTTTGCTATATCTGTTTAGTTTAAAACTTTAAAAGTAGTTTTATGTGTCTTCCTAAACTTACACAGAGAATGTCAAAAAATTTAATCTAGAAATTTGGGTTAAAAAATGAAAATTCTAGCTTTTTATCAAATGCTCAATTTAAAACGCTATAGGTATTCACTCAATATTTTTGAAAACTCCGCTATTTAAGCTTTTAAATATATGTTTCATAAATCATAATCATGGCGACAGCATGCTGTAATCTTTAAGAAAAACAAGTAAATATTGTAGTTTTCCATGATATTCATATTTATTAGAAAATATTGGTTTTTTATAAGATTAGTATGAGAAAATATAGTTTATCCGTTTTCCATTATAGATGCTAAAGTCCTATGTAAGAATATATTGTTAATGCACTCTGACTACTATAATATATACATATACAGGGTATCCCGTGTCATATTAGATCGTCAGTCAGTCTAAATTATGTTTTTTTGGGACTAATAACAAATTTTAAGAAGAATATATTATTTCGTAAAATTGAATAAGGCTTATATAAATTTTTTCTTGCAGAAAATGTTAGGTTTTTTGAGTATTATGGGTTTATTTTGGCGTTAAAGCTTGGAGTCTAATATGATATGGGACACTCTGTATATAATAGGCTAAAATATTATGGCTGTTAGAAAAAATATAAAAGAATATGTTGTTGAGAATATGAAATCCCCGAAAGAGGATTATGAAATCCGCAAATTAGTAGTGTCGGATCTTGGAACCAGAGAATACCTATACTCAACTTCCTCTCCTTTTATACACTAGTTATTTATCATGTATTTACAACTAGAAGCAATAAATGTACTTCAAAAACGTAATCATTACCATTTATTGATTTGATATTAAGAGAGAATACTAACCTTTTAAATTGATTTTTTATTTTATTTTCTTTATTTAATCCCTTTAGCTTTTAAATGAAGGTTTAAATATTTTGGATAAAAAGATAAAATAGTTAACTCCCACCTTCGTAGTCCTGATCAGCTTCAGCCAGTTCCTCAATAGATGCCAAAAGTCGTAGGCAGATCTTCTGTATCCTAGAACAGTTTCCATGGTTTGGAAAATATCAAAAAAACGCAAAAATAAAAAACGATCGTTTTTTAAGAAGATAGCTTTAAAAACTACCATTTTTAAAAAACGATCGTTTTTAAAAACGATCACATCGTTTTCGATTTTTCGTCGTCGAAGTCATAACGAAACGATCGTTTTTCAAAAAAAATGAAAACGTTAACATCCTTGTCTGTGGGGTTTCTGTAGAGATTTGTTGTGATTTGTTCACCTTCAATGTACAGTTTTGTGTCAAGAAATGGAATACTTTTTTGTTCCGTGGCACCAAAACTTTGGACACTGCTCCCGGGACAGGGGGGAGGGTGTACCCCCAGAGACTCCCCCCAACTGGCCCCATGAGTACACCTCTTGTTCCAAATCAAGTTTATAAACCTTGCTCTACATATTCTTATTTTACAATATTACTTATATAACTTACAGAAGCCGTTAATAACAATAGGAAACCAGAATAATTAAAAGTAAAGTGGTAATAGTAATAATTATATTCTTCATGATATAAACTCATAATTGTGTTGTACAAAAACATTAAGATTATAAGTTTGAACAATGAGCAGTTGTTTATATTATGACTAATGACTAATCTCTAATAAACATCTAGTTGTAACATCTGTTTGTCTGTTTGTATGTCCCATCATAACTCATAAATTCTTGACCAATTTGCCTCAAATTTTGGTTGGAGTATTCGGGAGAATCACGGGAATACCATGAGATTCTAAGTTAATTGGTTCTACTTTCATAGGGAAAAATAGATGAAATTGTAATTTACGACCAAACGCAGGTAAACAACGGTTGTGAATAAATGAGTACCCTGGGATCTCAAGATAGATAATGATAAATGCATTTAAAAACTTAATTAGTTGAAGAAGGCTATGAAGATGTTGATGAACATGATGATTTGGGAACTCAGGAGAGCCTCGGAAATATTCTTAGCTTGGTTTTGACTTTGATATTCAAAGTAAATTGGGTCTACTTTTTTATGGAAAAATAGATAAAATTGTAATTTTCGACCAAGCATGAGGATTGAGTAAATATATGAGTACCCTGGGCAACGCCATGTTCTCTAGATAGTTTATGATGAAATGCATTCAAAAGGTTAATTAGTTGAAGAAGGCTATATTAAAAAAAACATGTAACACAGATAGCAGATAGTAGTTGAACCGCGTAGACCAAGTTGAACCACTTATTTTTTACAAAAAAGGGCAGTTGAACTTTGTCTTTGTAGTTCAACTAGTTGATAATATCATAAATTCTGGAATATTTGCTTACCTAGCTGGGATTTGATCAATGTTGCTGGGATGGCATTGGGAGACTTTGATGGACTTCCCCTCTCCTTCCTACAATATCAATTATATTTTCAAAAATATTTTTTTTCATATATAAAATTTAAATTAGAAGAGCAAAAGTAATCAACATCCTGAAGTCATTATTTGCAAAAATGGAGTGAAAGTTGTCTTTGTAAAATCATCTGATAAATAGGTAGCCGGAGATTTTAAAATTGAAAAAGTTAAACAGTTACACATTTCAGAACCCCAAGTGAGGCTTCTTGTAAAAAGATATAAGAATGACGTAAATCACATTTTACTATTTATTGACCAAACATACTCAACACAATACCTTCGCAGCTAGGAGAAGAAGAAGAAGAACTCCGCAAACATAGTTTATAAGGGATATCTTAGTCATCTGAAATTAGGAGGTCAATCAATCAATCAATCAATCAATTTTTTATTTTTCAGTGACATTTTAGAAATACAGGTTTACCCAGTCAGGAGAAAACTAGAAAGACGACTCTACAGAATTTGTTTAGTCTGTTTTTTTAACATTTACAGTTCCCTGCAGTTGGAAACTTGTTCTGTTCTTTTAAAATCTATAAAATCGTTCATATTTCTTTCTTCAGAACAATAAATAAATTGACATAATTTAACACTTTGAAAGCTAGAAAAACGACGTAATCTTTCAAATTATTATTTATATTTTCAAGGGTATCGTTGTCAATTGGGCATACCCCTCTTGAAATGTAAGGTCACTTGAACTTACACTGACAGTCCTTTAAAGCTAATCTTATTCTACATACAATGGTCAGATTATAGTTGAGTTTGCTTATATCTATATATATAAATATATATCTATATATATAGTATTTTAAACTTTTTTCAGTTTAGATATACATTTTAGATGTTTAAATATATATTTTCCAAGATAAATTGTTTTATGGGTCTGACGCAATATATATGTATATATATATATATTGTATATGTATATATATTTATATATATAGTATTTTCAACTTTTTTAAAGTTTAGATATACATTTTAGATGTTTAAATATATATTTTCCAAGATAAATTGTTTTATGGGTCTGACCCAATATACTACAAATAAATAATTATTATCTTCATTTAAAAAATTAATGCAATATCAGTTAAATATTAGAGTATGTAAATTGTAAATAATGATTAAATATTATTTTGAAGCTAAACTATAGAAATGACTAAATAAAACCCTGAAAGAATCGAAGAGTGTTCAATTAAAAATTATATAAAATGGTTAAAAATGACTTAACATTGCTGAATAAATAAATAAAAATAAGTTAAAAATTAATCAAACAATGCAGGATTTTGAAGCTTCCCACAAATTTAATCAACATCAAAGGAAAGGAGTCTTTGCCACTAACTCGGATATTTGCATCCCAATTTCTTTAAAACCAAATGTTGTAGACCACAGATATTTCAAACAATGAATTCTGGTGGATCAAGCAATGTAAGTTTGAAATATGAAAGGTATGCATCATCTGGTTGTTGAGATTTAGGTATTATAAAATTGGGATTTGTGGCCAAAAACTCAATTCCTTTACCTTAAAAACACTATAATTTTTCCTTGTAATTTTATTCTTGTTCAAAAGAGAACAAGTTAATGTATTTTGTGTGCAGGTCCAAACAAGAATAAGAAATCTTTACAGCAATTTCTATTTTCAAGAAACCCATTTTTAAAATATTTCTATTTGACAGTTTGCGAGAGTTCTTGATCTAGTCTTCTGCGAAAAATTGAGATTTGATGAATTTAGAAGAGTAAGAAGTGATTTAAGGAGAAATGTCATCTTTTCCAATATTTCTTAGCGTCTTAAAGGGACTGTAAGCGTGACCTCAAGTGACCTCCTGGAAAGATGGCAATGCCCGATTTACAAAGGTACCCTTGAAAGTATTGTCTGGTCAAGTATAAATTGGACATCAATGTTTTTGTTTCTTTAACTGTTTATTTTTAATAAGTGCAGTTTTTCTGCAAAAGTGACGTGATAATTCTTGCTTGTAAGAAGCTGGATTGATTTTGTATTGATTTAAAACTACTCCACAAGAAATTTATGGAATTTTACTTTACCAACGATTACCAGGACCAATTTTGCTTAAAAACCATCCAGAATTTTCAGAAATAAGGCACTTTTCAAGCTAGAAAGGCTATGTTTTCAAATTATTGATCAAATTTAAAGAGTACCATGGTAAATCGAAAGTGACCCTTTTTTAATAAAGGCCACTTTAAAATGAAACTACAATTACATCAGATTTTGTTAAAATGTAAATGTCTACTAAGGTTTCCTAATAAGTTAAATAACATAAGAACTACCCAAAAACATGAGAATTTAGAAGCTGTTCAGTGTTCAGTGTTCAGTGTAGAGTATTATTACAATATTCGGTCTTATTTCTGAGAGTTTATTTTTAACAGTCTTAGTTCAAATCTAGAAATCACTATTCTACTTTTTTATTCTTTATTTTACAAAAGTGATTCTTACATCTATTTAAACTACTTTAAAAGAAAGTTTAGAGAATTGAACTTTACCAATGATGAATAAGACCATTTTTGCCTGCAAAACTTCCAGAGCGGAACAATGGATTTTTTATGGGCAAATTGGTACACAGAACCAGTGGTTTATGAAAATTTTAACTTTCCCGAAAAATTAGTCTTACACATAATTTTATGTCTTTTTTACAAAATCTCTGCTAAGAAACTTGACAGCCCGCTGTTGGGGAAATCATAGGTAGGTAGTGCTGGTGAAAAGACTGTTAAAATATATATTCAATCAAATCACTTTTCAAATATATCAATCCCATTATTTCTCTGAGAACCCTTTTTAGAAAATATTAACCAAAGTCCAAAAAAACGTAAGTTTTAGGTAGAAAATGTCTGAAGACAGTTTGAAAAGTAAATGCAAAAATATCTTTTATTTTTGAAATATTTTTGAAAAGAATATTTCTAAGAACATTATGAATTATGAACCCATGGACTAAACTCCTGACCTAACTCCAGTAGAAGAGTAGATACCGGTATCCCCGAGGTTAGGTTTGAAAATGAATCTGTTGTGTGCCAGATATCAGATTTTATACCAGAATCTCGGGGACTCTACAGAGGATACGGATTGAGAATGTTTCCTCGGAAAACTAGTCCTAATTTGATACACACTCATCGGCATTTCTTACAGAGAATGAGAGAAGATTGTCGAGAGTAAAGCAGCGCTTATCAACATTTATCCCCCCCACCCTCCCCCCTCCCGCCTTTGTGTAATATTCAGGTTTAGCCAAAAAATCACTTTAAAAGGAATTGAGTTTTTGCCACAAACTCTGATTTTCTAATTTCAATATCGTTGCAACCCAATGTCGCAGACCTTTAATATTTCAAACTATGAATGCTCTTAGATCAAATAACGTAAGTTTGAAATATCAAAGTTTTACATCATAAGGTTGCAAAGATATAGGTTTTACAAAAACTGAATTTTTGGCAAAGACTCAATTCCTTTGTATGATCTGAGCTGGTACAACATGTATTTAATGTATATGCATTCAGTCGTACTGTCTAGTCTTGACTACCCAGTGCAGACTCGATCCAGCATAGAATTTGACTTGAATACATTTACTCACATTCGCTAATCCCTTTATATTGGCAACCTGGTGATGCAAACCTATGATATTTTAAACACAGATTATTTGTTCTATATTCTATTTGTTATATATTTCTATATTCATATTTAAATATCAAAGGAATTGGGCATTGGTTTGCAAAGATATAGGGATTAGAAAATCGGAGTTTGTGGCAGACTTAAATCCGTTGCTTAATTCTCATCCTTGTAAGTAAAATCATACCAGTTATGTCGCATAAAACTAACCCACTACCTGGAGTCTATGTAATTCGTTATAAATATATACAAACAATATTGACAAATGTTTATAATTTATATCTTGTACAATATGATGGCAAAGACCATGTATGTTTTTAAACTACAAATCCTGTTATATAAGTTTGAAATATCCAAAGTCTTTAATAATAATAAGTAATTCAAAAATTAAACTTTTGGCACTGAAAACAATTATGTGACAAAAAACTGATTGCATATTTTGTCGTTTGTATTTTTGTTTACAAAACTTACATGTCTCATTTACAAAGTTCAAAATGAGATGGATCGTTTTCAAAAACGATCGTTTTTTCTAAAACGAAACAATCGTTTTTAGAAAAAATGAAAAACGATAGTTTTTTCGATCATTTTTAAATGAAAGGGAGTATGGCTTATAAGTGCCACCAATTTTACTTCTATCTGTTGTTAAAAGCTACTCATACCAAAGAACTTTAACGTTCATACAAATTCAGAAAGTTGCAATATTCAACTTGGATTATTTTTTTTTTATGATCTAATAGTTACTTTTAAAAAATGAATATTTGCAAATTATCTTTTTTCCATCTCATGATCTGAATTCGTTTGTTTCCCTTTTGTCCATTTTACAGCTCATTTTTATTTGAAAAATCTTTTTTGTTTGTTTTTTTCTAGTGGTGTTTAACAATTTTTTATCAATTTTGATGGTTATTTTATCGTTAGAACTGACGAGGGCCAAACCAGACCGAAATATATTTTCAATAAATATCTACTTTTTTTACTCTAATGAAGTTTGGTCCATCACCATCACCGAATTTTAAATCTTTTAGAACATTTATTCATGTTTCGAGAATTTTTGATAATGAAGACGACATTTTCATACTTTCCAGGAATGTTTGAAAATCCAGCGCCAGCGAAATATTATTTTTAAAAAAAGGAATCAAAAATATTATGAAATATTAACTTTATACAAATGTGTCGAAAAATAATCGATGACTATTGTTTGTAATATCTGAATGAATTGTTTGGAATTAAATTGATTTTTCTACGATTCGAGTTGAATATTTCAATTTTCTAAATATGTATAGACGTTACGTTCTTCACCATGAGTCGTTTTTTAACAATTTTCTCTTTATAGACGCAACAGATAGAAGTAAGATTAGTAGTGATCAAAAGCACTTATTTTTCGCTGTAAGTCTATGCCCCCTTTCATTTTTCGCGAACACTCCCTTTAAAAACGATTAACAACCCTACTCTCTGATAATGAATATTTTATTCAAAGTTATATTTCTTTGTTGATTGTCTTACAGTTAAAAGTTTTAGTATTTTAATTCAAATTCTTTTTTTCTTGTTTCGAAAATCCAAAATTTTCTCACATTGATTTTCTTCAATTTAAGCTTAACGCAAATTTTCTTTAATCCAGCCGATATATGCGGTAACCCTGAAAAAAGAATATGATGAAAAATATATTATAATATCTTAAATTTGATAAACTGATAGATTTTTTATCTAGTTTATTTCATTTATTTCAATTTCTCTTAAATTTTTCAAAATATATGTATATAGAAATAGTCAAATCTTAATTCTAATAAACATTGATAATATACAGGTCAAACTGGAGATCAGGTGTTAAGATTTTAAAAAAGAGGTCATTGACCACAATTCCCATTTTTTCCACATAATTTGTGTAAATGACAGTTACAGGCTGTCATATTTATTATATTGAGACTGCATATTCAGGCAGTTACATTTCAATTTTTTTTGGTACAAATTTTGGTTTTTCAAAAGTGTCAAATTAACCCCTCCCCCCCCCATACCTTGTAAAGACAGTTGGAGTTTCAGAGCCACATTTGCCTGACCCGGCACTAACTATACCATACAAATACCTAGATAGATAGGTAGATATACAGATAGATAAATATACTAGAAGGATAGATATAAAGATAGATAGATAGATGGATAGATAGATGGATAGATAGATGGATAGGTAGATAGATAGATATATTGATAGATAGATAGATAGATAGATAGATAGATAGATAGATAGATAGATAGATAGATAGATAGATAGATAGATAGATGGATAGATAGATGGATAGGTAGATCGGTAGATAGATAGATAGATAGATAGATAGATAGATAGATAGATAGAAAAATATAGCTAAAATCTTACCATTTGCTCGGGCTAGCTAATTCCTCAATCAAAAACTTTTCCTTCTTGTTGAACTGATTTATCGCAAGAGGACCCCCGGAATCACCCTATGGAGAAATCACTATGCCTATATTCATGAATGCCTAGTTCGTAATGCCTAGATAACATTATGCCTAGATAACACCATGCCTAGATTCATGAATGCCTATATAACATTATGCCTATATTTCTGAATGCCTAGAAAACATTATGCCTAGATTTCATAATGCCTAGTCACCCAATGCCTAGATAACATTTGACTGAATTGAATGCCTAAAGACATTGTCAAGCAATAAATAAATAATACTAATATGTTTATATTATTTATTAAATATTTTATTGGTCAATTTTTTGCCTATCATGGGCCAAAGTAGAAATATAATCTGCTCTTTGCATGCTGTCAAAAACATCAACAACAAACTTTAATCTTTCTCTTGCATCTAGGGACCTCTGTTTACTTCCAGTGTTGGTTGTCATGTCCTGGCCAACAGCATTAGATGAGTAGGCTCTTCTGGCCTCAGCATCCTGCTTGATGAACAGCTCCTGAATATGCCAGACATTCAATGCACTGTCATCTAGGCACAATATTATCCAGGCATTCATGAATCTAGGCATTGTGTTCTCTAGGCATTATGTTATCTAGGCATTATGTACTAGGCATTCAAAAATCTAGGCATAATGTTATCTAGGCATTTAGAAATCTAGGCATAATGTTGTCTAGTCATTTATGAACTAGGCATAGTGAACTAGGCATTCACGAACTAGGCATTCGGGAACTAGGCATAATGTTACTGAGCCGGGCATAATATTCAAAACCGTAATTTTGTAGGCCTGTTTTGGAGTAAAATAATTAAAATACATTTACGCCTTCTAAGGTTGTCAAGTAGAAAACATTAAGTTACAATAGGCATATCCGTATAATACATCCAAACCAAAAAAATGTCAAGCTTTTAATTTTCTTCAAGTCTCTTATGTGTTGATTATAACATTTGTTTGGAACATAAGTACTGTTTGGAACTTGCATCCCCTGGCTGATTAATATCTATCACGGGCAGCCGTAGTACATTTGAATTTTCGAGTCGGGTCAACCTTTCCGGTCCCAGTTTGTACTGTATCGCACGGACATTGGGTAAATAAAGCAGACACTTAATAGGACTAGCCGGTGCAACAAGGTGGACGCGGTCAGACTTTAGGTTGAATTTGCTTTTACTAAAGGGTCAGTGGTGCGTCCTCTGTGTATCATGTATGATTTGTAACATTTGTAACATACCGTACAAGCATCTTTATCTGACTCTCCCCCTGCGCACACTTGGTTGGAGTAGCTAAACAACGAGAAATATAATTTTATAGGAAAGTAGTGATTACTCCAACAAACTCTAGTTTTTAATCCTCATATCTTTGCAGCAAATGCTGTATAGACTTTAGATATTTTATATTATGAATTCTGCTAGAGATTAACACCATTTGGTTAAAAATATGAAGGGAACAGAAAATTAAAGTTTAAAGTATCGTTTTTTCTTTGTTAAAAATCCTTGTTTCCAAATTAAATGTAAAGTGGTCAGCGTTTATATCAATACAATGAAGACAACTGTTTTATTCAAGTTTTGATGGTTAACAATCTTTTTTTCAAGTAAACAAAGCGAAGCATATTTACTTGCATATGTGTATTGTGTATCAATTATACTGTTTGAAATCCTGGGAGAAAGTCGTCTTCATTGTTATGACAAATACAACACAGGTAAAAATAAACAATTATAAAATTCTTGATTTAAAACATTTGTGCATAAAAAATATGAAATATGTTTTATGAACTTACTTCACAAACCGATGATACTCTAAGCACTGCCATTTAGATTTTAAATAGAAAATGCTATATTTCAGAATTTCTTACACCTTGAAAATGGAACTTTTCCACAAATTCTGATTTTTTATTTCTTTAATCTCTGCAACCTAGTAGGGTAAACCTTTGATATTTAAAACTTATATGATCACACAAAATTCACATATTTGAAATATATAAGGTCTACGACATCGGGTTGAAAAAATAAAGAAATTAGAAAATTCGAGTTTGTGGCAAAAATTCAAATACAATAATAACAAATATAATAACAACAATATATTAAAAGTCAAATCTCATTCAGAAATAAATGTCTCAAATACTCATGCTAAGACTATCACCAACATTTTAAATCCTTTAAAATTTTCCTTAGATTTGCCTAGAATAGGAAGGTCTACCACTTGTTGTATAGCAGTTGCGAATCTACTCTCGTTTTCTTCTAGAACCGAAACAGTCAAAAATATTGATAATTTATTGCCCTGACAAAAAACATATTGACCACTTATCTTCCCATGTAGTTGGACGTTAATGGAACATGTCCATGTCGAGATGGGCACGTTCGGCTTTTTTTTTTATTTCGTTCGTTCATCATTTGTGAACAAACCGTTTCATTTTTTTTCAAGCATTCAAAAACAATTTATTTTGTTCTCAAAAATATTGTTCATTTTCCATCTATTTCGTTTTCTCAGTGAACAATCATTCATTGAACGATCCAAGTTGTTTGTCCATCGTTCGTTTTAATTAACGATATCATAGTTCAAGAAAAATTTAATTTGTTCCCAAAAATTTTGTACATTTTCAACAACGATGCCCATCTCTATGTCCATGCAATTTCCCAAGCGGCAACTTCAGAAAGGTTAGGTTAGGCCTTCTGACGCTCAGCAGGCTGCAATAAGGGCCGAGTGCTACAGCTAGGATTTGCTAGGGGACAATGTGCTTCGGCTAGAACATGGTATTAGAGGCCGGCCAAGCGCTGCGGCTAGTTGCCGCTTGGGAAATTCCACATTTGGGAAATTTCACTTGGGAAAATACTCTTGTGAAGTTGCCACTTGGAAAAATGCCTTTGGGAAAGTGCCTAACATCTGCGATTTAATATCAGGGCATTATTGTCGTTGTTGATTCTAAAGATTCAATCAATAGATTTTTATATACTATTTTGAAGATAAAGGTACTTTTCTCCTGTTGTTTATTCCAACATATTGAGTATTAAATCATAAATTTTTCAAAAAAATTTAGAATGAAATCTTAAAACACAAAAACCTGCCTGGAGATTGAAAAGCCCATGAATCAAGAGTGAGGTAAAACCTCAAAAAATTGAATTAAAATCCCCAAAAACTACAAACCTACTATACACCTACTATACACCTACTATACACCTACTATACACCTACTATACACCTACTATACACCTACTATACACCTACTATACACCTACTATACACCTACTATACACCTACTATACACCTACTATACACCTACTATACACCTACTATACACCTACTATACACCTACTATACACCTACTATACACCTACTATACACCTACTATACACCTACTATACACCTACTATANTACTACACACCTACTATACACCTACTACACACCTACTATACACCTACTACACGCCTACTATACACCTACTACACACCTACTATACACCTACTACAAACCTACTATACACCTACTATACGCCTACTATACACCTACTTTACACCTACTATAAAACTACACACCTACTATACACGTACTATACACGTACTATACACCTACTATAAACCTAGTATAAAACTACACACCTACTATACACCTACTATACACCTACTATACACCTACTATACACCTAATATAAAACTACACACCTACTATGAAATATTTGACGTTCTTAGATAAACTGGCTCAATGCAGGCCGAACTGAAGGTGAGATTAAACTGGTAGTGGCTAAAAAAGCTGTTCTGAAATGTGACATATTCCTCTTTTTCAAAGTTCATGAAAATTGAAATAAAACAAATCTGTGTATATTGACTAAAATTGCAGGCAACCTGCTAAATTTTAGCATCCTATCATAATTTTTAAGGCAAAACTCAGTCTGCACACTAGGGTGTCCCAAAAACAGCGAAAAATGGATTTTCAGGTAGTGTGTTGTAAATCCTGGTACTAGATGATAAAAAAATACGATCGGTAAAAAAAAAAATTTTCTAACTTAAGTATTTCTACTCGGAGTTTGGATTTCAAAAGTTGCGGCTAAAATACTCGAGGTTGCGTGATTATAAGATATTTAAAAATCGAGTTTAGATCATTTTTCTGATCCAAAACAATAATTTCACACTTTTTATTGAGTTAGATATTATTTATTATCACATTATGTTTAATTTCACAGGATCATAATAAATTTACATACACTTAGTATCTTAAAATAAGTTTTACACTGTTCAGAATCTAATTTTATATTTTTTTTTAGAGTTTCCTTTGAAATCATGTCATTCATTGTTTTAAAATAACCTTTGTTTTAAAAACAAATTTGAATCAAAAAAATGAATTGTAAAAAATAAGAAAACCCTCCGGAGATTACCTAATATCAAAGTAAATATTTGCATAGAAAAACTTTAGGGATCGTAAATTAAAGATCAATTTAAATTCCAATGAATAACAAATCCTTTGTTCATGTTTTAGAGTTTATCTTACTTCTTTATTCCTTGACTGTTGTCAAAATATCCTGTCTTAAACTCTCATCTTGAGATGATTCTACAAACTCCTGGATAAGTTTCACTCCTCTCTCGGCACAGTCATTAACTACAGAAAGCTTAGTGATGAACTTCTTGAACCTCTGGTAAGAACCGTTCATCCACCAGTTCTCCACCTTCTCCTCTAACCAGCTCATGTCTGTTATTTTAGACAACTTTATGAGGAACCAAGAGTCTGGTCCTACTAAATCAGATAACTCCTTGATTTCTGATATTGGAAGATTAATCTCAAGATATCCTACAGTATAGGAATCAGGAACTGGGTGACTGCTGCCATGTTAGTTCTGCCAATATCATCAAGATTATCATTTACAATGTCTTGAGATTAATCTTCCAATATCAGAAATCAAGGAGTTATCTGATTTAGTAGGACCAGACTCTTGGTTCCTCATAAAGTTGTCTAAAATAACAGACATGAGCTGGTTAGAGGAGAAGGTGGAGAACTGGTGAATGAACGGTTCTTACCAGAGGTTCAAGAAGTTCATCACTAAACTTTCTGTAGTTAATGACTGTGCCCAGAGAGGAGTGAAACTTATCCAGGAGTTTGTAGAATCATCTCAAGATGAGAGTTTAAGACAGGATATTTTGACAACAGTCAAGGAATAAAGAAGTAAGATAAACTCTAAAACATGAACAAAGGATGTGTTATTCATTGGAATTTAAATTGGTCTCTAATTTACGATCCCTAAAGTTTTTCTATGCAAATATTTACTTTGATATTAGGTAATCTCTGGAGGGTTTTCTTATTTTTTACAATTCATTTTTTTGATTCAAATTTGTTTTTAACAAAGGTTATTTTAAAACAATGAATAACATGATATCAAAGGAAACTCTAAAAAAAATATAAAATTAGATTCTGAACAGTGTAAAACTTATTTTAAGATACTAAGTGTATGTAAATTTATTATGATCCTGTGAAATTAAACATAATGTGATAATAAATAAAATCTAACTCAATAAAAAGTGTGCAATTATTGTTTTGGATCAGAAAAATGATCTAAACTCGATTTTTAAATATCTTATAATCACGCAACCTCGAGTATTTTAGCGCAACTTTTGAAATCCAAACTCCGAGTAGAAATACTTAAGTTGGAAAATTTTTTTTTTTACCGATCGTATTTTTTTATCATCTAGTACCAGGATTTACAACACACTACCTGAAAATCCATTTTTCGCTGTTTTTGGGACACCCTACTGCACACATATTATTGTGAAAAAATGAGAATTGCAATCACCACCCCCATTTCTCCCTTTTCAGTTACATTTTACCTAAAAGTCCAGCATAGGATGAGTTTAGTCCCCAACCAACTGCATGAGCTCTAGAGAAAAAACTTAGCTAAGCATATCTATATGTATAGTTGATATTTTTACGTGGGAGCCATATGATTCATAATCAGTAAAACAATGTTTCTTTCATCTCAACCCAGTTTGGGCAAAACCGTCGATATAAACAAGTATTAAATCACACAATTATTCCAAAAAACTAAAAATATTCATCTAACTGTTCTCCACTTTTGTTTTCCTGGTAGGATATGCTCTGAATTTTTGTATTAAGTCAAGCAAGAATTTTAATTGAAATAAGTGCTATTAATTAATTTAGATATTTGACATTGTATATACTATAGGGTTGACCACATAGTCTAAGACTGTAAAGACGACATATTGATGATTTAATGTTTGAATTAAGTTTTGAGGATTGAATGTAGTTGACAGTTGTTAAATGGCTTATTTAATGATTTGGCAAAGAAAAAAACAAGTTTCAGTTGCAGGGCAACCCTGTATATATCATACAACATAACATATAGATACATATATAGATATTTGAAATAAATTGTTTACCTAACCCCGAGAAGGCTGTCTTCGAAATCCGGAATATTCAGAATTTGAAGATCAGGGGGTCCTATAACATTTTAAGAATATAAACATGCAATATTTATGATATATAAGTACACTCAGTCAGCACAGTTAAAATAAAAAGTGTGAGAATTTTACAATGATTTATATGTACATTGTACAATGAATAATATGTACATTGTACAATGAATAATATATTTACATTGTACAGTGACTTATATGTACATTGTACAATGAATAATATGTACATTGTACAGTGACTTATTTGTACATTGTACAGTGACTTATATGTACATTTTACAATGCATAATATATTTACATTGTACAGTGACTTATATGTACATTATACAATGACTTATGTGTACATTTACAATGACTTATATACACATTGTACAATGACTTATATGTACATTGTACAATGACTTACAAGCAAATTGTACAATTACTTATATGTTACACTGTACAATGACTTATATGTACATTGTACAATGACTTATATACACATTTTACAATAACTTGTATGTACATTGTACAATAAAGTATATGTATATTGTACACAGTACTACCTAATGGTAAGCAGATAGGTTCCACATAAAGACCAACCTCGACAATTTTACTGAAAAAAGTGAAAATTTAGTTTTTCCATTAACAGTTTTTGGAATATTTGCAAACACTGGAATCAACAGTTAAAATCAGCTTGTTTTTGAGGAGATATATGAGAAAATTTAAAAGATTAGTTATTTATGAAACGGCATCACCAGCAGGCCTTCTGCAAGCTTCTTGTCCCAATTGAGCTTTTTTTTTGTAGTTTAAGCATCAAAATTTTCCTCGTTTATCAAGTAAGAGTAGAAAATAAACATAGAGAAAAAGAAATAAAAATAAAATAAAATGAATCCAACCCCTAGATAGAAGAATCAATTCACGAGCGACAATGGGTGTTCTAAAAGCATGAAATTTAATAGATTTGGCACCAAGTCGGGGTTGAGAAACATGTTCACAATTGGTCAGAAAGCCTCAGACAACATAAAATACAAAAATAAATTGATATACTTGATATACTTTAAATACCAAGTCTCTTTAAACTTTAATAAAAAAATAAACTATATAAGAAGGAAAAACAAGTTAATTTCGAAAAGATGAAGTCAATAAATTGACGAAATTAGTTATTATATTTTATAGTCATACTATTTTATTTAAAAAAATTTAATTTTACAATTTCCTTCTTTTTCAATAGGTCTTAAAACAATCATCCCCTTTTTTACTTTGCTTACTTCAGCTTCACCAGTGCGATGTCATTTTTTATTGATCTATCAGTTAACTCATAATCCTGGTGCACAATCCATCTCTGAAAAATTGGAAAAAATGTAGATACTGAAGGCTTAATTTCATACGTCCTTCATTTGTAAAGTGGAAAATCCGATTCACAACAGCTTACTCTTTAAACCTTGGACTCTAACTTGTATACAAGATTTTTAAGAAAGATTATCATTTACTTTCTGAAGTTTAGAAAAGAAATATCTGAATCTGTCCTACCCTTCTTTGCCTTGAGGGTCACTTGAATAATGCTTACAATCCCTTTAACTCCAAATAATGCTTACAGTCCCTTTAACTCTTGAATAATGCTTACAATCCCTTTCACTCTTGAATAATGCTTACAATCTCCTTAACTCTTGAATAATGGAATAATGCTTACAATCCCTATAACTCTTGAATAAAGCTTACAATCCCTTTAACTCTTGAATAATGCTTAAAATCCCTTTAACTCCAAATAATGCTTACAATCCCTTTAACTCTTGAATAATGCTTACAATCCTTTTAACTCTTGAATAATGCTTACAATCCCTTTAACTCTTAAATAATGCTTACACTCCCTATAACTCTTGAATAATGCTTACAATCATTGGTTTGTGCATAAATCCAATTTTAATTATATGATAACGAATGTTTAAAATCTGCCAAATTAAAAACTATGAAATAAAAAATTTTTAAATTTTTGCCTCTATATCAATGACTTGATTTTTGGTTAGCTCAACTGTCATTCCTTCATAGACATCTAGATCCCTTGATAAGTCCCAGTCTCCTATGTTGGCCTTACAAAATAAAACGGTAAATAAGTTACCAAATTAAACCTTACAATGAAACAGTAAATACAATGTTCATCATGAATCCCTGAAAGCAGGAAAAAAGAATAATAAAAAAAAATAAAAAAATATATATTATTTTTTTTTACATTTAAATAGAATTTTCACGCAATCCCACCCCAGCCCTACTGGACACATTGCTTAAAATATTGCAGGATATTTTGCTGGAAAGGTTGCTAAAAGAATTGCAGGAAGTGTTGCTGGAATTTTGTTATTAATATTGCTGGAAACTCTGCGGGAAATATTACTTTAATTTTTGCTGGAAGTATTGCTATACATACTGCTGGAAAAAATGAAAGTAAATAATTTGTCCATACAAATTGTTGGACACATTGTTGGCATTTTTGCAGGAAATTTTGCTGGATATACTGCTAGAAATACTGAAAAGTATTGTTGGAAATATCGCTGTATGCTGCTATAAACACTGCTAAAATGTTGCAGGAAATATTGCTGGAAATATGGCAAGAAATATTGCTGGACATAATGCTAAAGGTATTGCTAGTAATATTATTAGAAATACTGCTAGAAATTTTATAAGAAATATTGCTAAAAATATTATTAGAAATATTGCTAGAAATATTATTAGAAATTCTGGAAATTATTCTATTAATAATGCTTGAAATATCCCTGGAAATTATTCTATTAATAATGCTGGAAATATCCCTGGAAATTTTTCTATTAATAATGCTGGAAATAATGCTGGATATAATTCTGGTAAAAATTCTGGAATTATTACTGGAAATATTGATGGAAATAATGCAGGAAATATTGCTGGAAATATTGCTAGAAATAATGCTGGAAATATTGCTAACCTTATTAACTTTATATTCACAATGAGCTGCAGTTAGAACGTACCACCTAAAAAAATACTTTTTATCATAAATGTATCACATATCAATTAACCCATTCTAAAATATGTTTTTAATAACATTTATTAATCATGGAAAGAGTGTATCTTTTTGTTTGGCAATCAATTTAATACATATTTTTGACGTTTGAGATTCTTGGCCTTTACTCCACAAAAATCTGAGAATGCAAAATTTTACTGTATTTACTGTTAGTCGTAAGATATATACATCGGGTCAAAATAGTCTCTTAAATCCTTGAAACTTCTTAAAAGCAAGGTACAGGTACAGGTACAGGTACAGGTACAGGTACAGGTACAGGTACAGGTACAGGTACAGGTACAGATACAGGGGTTGAATTATCACAACTATTTGTATTGTGTTACCTATTGATTAGACTGCCACCACAAACATAGGTGATCACATTACTGTCTGCAGATCCTATTTAATTTCATTCTTAAAAATTTGTAATTTCAACATTATCTGATTTTCTTATCCCTTATACCTCTTTGCAACCCAATGTCGTCGAACTCAGAAACATTGATGGAAATATCATCGTTTTACTATAAAAAATTATAATTTCTCATTGTTAGTTCTAAATAGTAAAAGTATATAATTTTAAAAATTAAAAACGTTTGAACATAAAAAACGACGATATCTCCTCCGCAGTTTCTCGAATAGCAAATTAAAATGGCGTGAATCAGACATAACACTTTTTAATTGTGGAGTCTGTTAAAATTACGTGCACAGTCGTTTTATTTTAATATATGTTGTACCTAGAGCCACAGTAAATGGATACTTTCCGGGCTTTGTGTTTTTTCCTCCTAGAGTAGAATCAAAATGAATTATTATACTTTTAATCAAAACCTAGTACAGATATAGATCAAGGCTACAGAATTAAAGTTTTTAAAAAGTACCAGAACGTTTTCTTAATCTTAACTCTGCCAAGCTTAAAAAAAAATAAAATGTTTTGAGGGACTAAAAAATATGGAAAATTTATTTGATCAAAAGATTTCACTCGGGATTCCGATTGATAATTTTGTTAAAAAAAGATATCGTAATATGTGCATTGTTGATATAAGGGGGATTTAGAAAACATGTAACCATAAGACAAAATGTAATTCTCTTTCAGAGGTTGGAACATTTATCTTGAATGCTTGATCTCAATATTCATTGTGGGCACTTTTGAGGATAAATGTTTAATCCCTGACTTAGTCGTAGGTCTGTATAAAATGGAGATCAATGCTTGATCCCGAAATTTACATCAAAAAAGTTCTGAGTTGTGAGTTGTGAGTGCAGCTAACCAATAATGTTAGAGCTATCAGAGAATTCTCCACATCCTTCTGTCTCACCGCTAAATAGGAAAATTGTAAAAATAAGTTTTCTTTTCTTTTTAGAATTTTGCATTTCAAAGGAATCAAGCCTTTGCCACAATCTCTGATTTTCTACTCCCTATATCTTTGCAATTTAATAATGTAAACCTTAGACTGTTTTGTCAGAATTCAAAGTTTGAAATAGCAATGGTTTCCACCACCAGGTTGCAAAGATATAGGGATTAGAAAATTTGTGTTTGTGGCAAAGACTTAATTGTCTACTATGATAATATGATGTACTGGCTTGGGAACCCAGCTTTGACTGGGAATTGAATCAAGGGAGACATATTCCTGTGTTTTTAACAAACTACCTAATCAAAATTTTAGACAAACAGTTTAAGGGGTTTCTGAGTTATGATCGGAAAAGCAGACAAACAACAAAACAGACATTATTCAATATTTACAATGCATATATAAATTATTACTATGTAGTTTACTTGACATTTTTCAAGAACTAATTTTTCTGACCAATGATTATATCCTAGAGGAACAGTCCAGTTTAAAAATTTACTGCTAGGGCTTGTGTAAATGATCAGCTATATGTCCCAGCATGACTGGAAATTTCCAAGATACCCAGGCATTTAGGGAATTTCCCAAATTCCTAGGTTTCTGGGAAACTTCCCAAATATCCAGTCATTTGAGAAATTTCCAAAATCTTAAAAATATACCACCCTCAAATACCTACAGGAATTTGGGGAATTTCCCAAATGCCTGTTTAAAAAAAAAATGTAAATGTTGTCGTGTCATGTGTAGATTCTTCAACTAGATTGGCAACTTTAGAGTTTATTAGTGCAACAAATCTATACAATGTTAATCTTCATTAAATCATTTCAGGTTTGAGAAACCATCTTAGAGTCATCCTGGATTGTGAAGATTCTGGTTCTCTGCATAGCTTGGATCATAAGAAGTATACAGAGTTCAGCTTGTGCACATACAGAGCCAGGATAAGGGTCAAATTCATCTGGGTTAGGAGGAAGAGCATTGTCTTGGTATGCTTCAAACTATCTTTCAATGACAGCTATTCCGAGTTCTGTAGCTCGATAATTTCTATAAGTTGACAACAAGTTTCCTCCATCATCTTCAATATCCAAGAGAAGGACGGTGGATGCTCTGCATCCACTATGTCATGATCAATCTGCTCTGGTTCATCTCTACAGCTTCATCCAGTTCTACAATCTCTCCTTGTTCTAGCTCTGGACCTGGCAAACTTGAGGCATATTTCTTGGAGGATTATAGATCATTCTCTAGTTCAGGCACCAGATTCTCAGCAACAGCTTCCAATTTCAATGTTGGTTCATCTGCTGCTTCATCTGTAATCTTAGCTGCTCCCAGCGTTAAAGGTCTCGATGGAGCTGGGGGATTGAATGGAGCTGGTTAAGGTTCAGGAGGTTCATCCTTTGGTTCAGAATCAACCAACAATACTTCAATCTTGGGATCTGCACGATCTGCTATGTCTAGCACCAGCTTCAGGATCAAGGCTCTCAATCCATGCTTCTGATCCTATCTCCATGGTCTCTCCATCCTAATACGGTATCTCCCTACTTGAAAACCTCTGGGATCTCAACCATATCCGGAGTACAATAAGTTCATTCCTCATAGATCCTCATGATTTCTCTTTGTCGTGAAATCATAGGTCGGACTAGATCTGCTGGATGCTCTGAAGTTTCTGGAAATCCTTGCATGGAATCATATGGAGAGGACAGTGTAGAATCTGATGCATTCTCATCTAAGGCTGAACTGGCAGGTACTGTAATTAAGGGCCCATCCCCTGAAAACGTAGGCAGATTACTTGTAGAGGCGGAGGATTCTGATCCTGCATACTCGTGAATAATGATTAGGGAGGAGCCTGGAGGCCTCCTATGTCCTCACGCAAGCATGATTGTCAGAGACCTATCAGATAGCAGTATAAGAACCTCTGTTATAGATAGGATAGTCTCTACAATATAAAGGTGCTGGGTGCACTGCTTAGCTCCCAAGTTTCTATTCATGCACAGTCCACAGTAAAGTGGGTGGAGCTAATCTAAGGGACATTGTGTTAGAAACTACAATTACTACTTTATACTTCAAAATCCAGCTCTGTCTGTAAATTTAGGATCCAAGAATGTTCCCGTGGTTCTATTGTGTTCCGAAATTACAATTTGAGGCAAATTGGTCAAGAGATTATAATCAAAGATATTGTCTTAATAGTTTTACACTAAAATATCAGCATATGAAATGAAATTTACTAAAAATATTCTCAAACATTTGAATGGTTTTAGAACTCTTACCTTGGGAGATATTTTGGAGAATCACTAGTGAGTGGTTTTTCCTTAAATATTGAAAGATATTTGAATATATATAATATATAATTAGCTTTTTGTAAGTTACCCAGTCTTTTAAGAGCAATATTTACACTTCTAATCAATATTCTATTCAATGTGTACGTATCTAATCAATATACTATTCAATGTGTACGTATCTAAATGTATTTATCACATATTTACACTTCTAATCAATATACTATTCAATGTGTACGTATCTAAATGTATTTACACTTCTAATCAATATACTATTCAATGTGTACGTATTTAAATGTATTTATCACATATTTAGGGAGAAAGAAAAAACATGCTACTTAAACAAATCTGAAAATAAAGATTTTAGAGAGAGCAGATAAGAAAAATGAAAACTGAAAATAAAAACACATAAATGTTTGATTCACCTTTTCGCAAATGTAATGAAGTTTTTCTGAACCACATTTAAGGACGTCTAATTGGTCTTTTAGTATCCTAAGAAGTTTTATTAAATAGTAATTTAAGTTACAATGCAATACAGAGGAAGGTTTAGAATAAAGGATACTATTGACCATATTGGACTCTTTGTATGGAGATCTGAAGGTCATCTAAACTTACATCAAAAGTTTCTTTTCTTAACAAAAAAGATTAAGCTCAAGTTTGTCGCCATTGCATATTTTTGCGAATTAATAAAACCCCTGACATAAAGCTTGTATTGTATAATTGTAATTTTGAATTGTATAATAAATAAACTGGTTTTGAAGAAACGTTTTCCACAGTGTATACATTTAAATTGAAAGATTTAACTTACTCGCCACTTTTGAATTTATCGATAAGTTGAGTACAGTCCCTGATATGAAGACAGTTCTCCTCTTGTAGTTGTGCCTGAAAACAAAACAAAACTTGATTTTATATCTTAAATGCACTCATTTGCAAAAAGGTTACCAAGAGAAGATGAGATTTTGTCTGAGGGGATCAAAAAAATAGTTTTTTCTGCATCGTATTTAACACAATGTTTATCGATATGTCAAATTAATTTCAGTAAACTACAGGTGAAACTGGGACACATTTTTGATAAAATTCTCAAACCCATCTTGCATCAGTCCTAAAGCTTTTTTATATAGTTCTTTAAAAAAGTATATTTTCTTTAATAATTATCAAGCCATTTAGATTTTAGTAGATAAAAACACTAATGTAAAGTAAGCGGGATGGAATTGTCAAAATAAATCAAGATTGATGTCAATTTTTTGGTCTTGAATCATTGAATTCAAAAACTATAGAAAAAATTTAGTTTTCTACTAAGAATCTGCCTCCCACCAAACAGGCTCAAGGGAACCCAGCTTTGCATGGAAAATAAATATTCTCTATAAAAGTCAACCTACTCAAGTCAGAACTTTTAAATGGAGCTATATGAACATTTTAGTGCAGTGGTTCTACCGAGTTCCATGATATAGTTAAAATCGGTCAAGGCCAGGTGCGTATTCAGGGGGGGGGGCTATGGGGGCTAAGCCCCCCTGGACCAGTGAAATCTATTGATTTCAGGGGGTTTTCAAGGCCCAACGGGTGCTGAGCCCTCTCCTGGAAAGATAAAAAAAAATAAGCCCTCCCCTGGACAAATTTCTGAATATGCCCCTGGTCAAGGCCAAAGGAGTTTATGAGTTATGTTTGGACATACAAACAAAAAGACACACAGTAATACATACACACAAACACAATTTTGAATTGATAACACGAGAACATTCTCATTATTCTAACGAGTTTTCCAAACAAATTTTGATGTAATTCGGTCAGGGGCCATGGGTTATATGTTACGATCATTTATAAGTAAAATCTCTGATTGTATGTTAATTTATTTGACCAATTATGACTCTGATTATGAACCTCTAGACCGATATACCTCAAATTTTGATTGGGGAAGTTGGAAGAACCACGGGAATGTTCTTGGCTTGGTTTTGAGATTCTAAGTTGAGTGGGTCAACTTTAAAAGCGAAAATATAGTTTCTCAGTAAAATTGACTAAATGAGGGTAAACGCTGGGAGTAACTATGAGTACCCTGGGCAATGCTGGGTGTAGCAAAATATGATATTCTGTAAACTTGCTGTTCGTTGTACATCATAAATAATATAATTTTTTAAACTTAGACATAATGAGATAATTTATTTAAATCGCGTTTCAATCGATTAGCTCAAATCATGTGACATACTTATTATGTTATAAAATGTAGGCAGACATAGATTAACTGAGTTATATCTATTCTCTTTAATTCTTTAAATATGTACCTTAAACTTTAACTGTGCGATAAATACATAATATGATGGTCTTAATCATGTAATATCAATAACATCGTAGGAATTAAAGTACATCAATTCCTATTAACTTTGTAACCTACGCAATTGAATAAAAGTTAGTTGTATGATACCCTGCTTTGTACACGGTATTAGAAGTAGTCGGTGTTCTTATTGAAACATGCAAGTGTAGATTCTGCCTAGCTGATTTGCAATTGAATCAAATATAGCTTGAAAGGATAGCTTGTGATCTTGTTGAATTATAAGAGTGGAGACTGTGCCTTGAGTATTGGCATTGAATCGAATATAGCTTGAAAGATATCTTGAGCTCTTGTTGAATTATATGAGCGGAGACCTTGCCTCGATAATTGGCAATCTGATCGAATTTAGCTTGAAAGATAGCTTGGGTCCTCGTTGAATTATACGAGCTGAGATTTGGACTGTGTGTCCTTCAGAACCAGGAAGTTAAGCCTGGTTGGGAAATTACCTGTGTATCAATTTCAATAGCCTGTGTGGCTTTTATAATTAGGGAGTTATTTGTGATTGTGTGTCCTTTGGAACCGGAGAGTTAAGCCTGGTTGAGATAATGCCGTTCAGAAACGAAAAGTTAGTCCTAGTTGATCTTGGCAATGAGTAAACCTGGATAGATACATCTCGAGTAAAACTGTTATGGAGTAGGTATTTGCTTCATGGGTTCTTAGGCAATAGTTTTTATATATCTAGACTTTTAGGGCGCTTCGTGCCAATTATAAGTTTCATATTTTAATTGTGGCTTTATCTACAGTGAAAAATTTCCTTTTGTACAGTGTAAAAAAAAAACATTAAAAAAGTTGCGGATTTCTTGATATTTTTTCGCGCTTTTTCAAACTTTTACAAAAAATAAAAACAGACACAAATTTTAGAAATTTGGATCATTCATAAACCTTCCCTGGGGTCACGGAAGGTCCCGCAAAAAATGTGGGCCCAATCCGTTCAGCCGTTTATTGGATACAAACGGACAAACAAACACCCAGACACCCAAGCAAAGCATAAATATATAAAGATACCTTGATTGTGTATTGTCCAAGAATAACGAAGATGAAAACTGAAAAATACAACATTCTTAATCTACTGGTGAACACAAACTCTACTGGTTCTAATACTCAAGCAACAACTCAGGGATTTATCTAAAACCAGTTAAACATCTTTTATCTGTCTAAACCACTATACTATATCTAATTCTATTATCAATCTATATCTCTCTATTTGTATACTCTGATTGTATGTATGTCAAAGGTTTACAACATCAAGTTCTAAAGATATTGAGGTTTAAATATTTGATTTTGTTCCAAAGACTCAATTTCTTTCTATTATAAATGGATGGTTGAAATTGTTAAAATCGTGTTTATTAGCAGACAATGAAATATTGGCGTCCTGAAAACAACATCTTAAAATTAAAATTGTAGAACTGAGAACAATGGGGTTTATGCGATTTTAAACTAAATACGCTTATATTCTTCTCCTTCTTCTTTGCAACCTGGAGGTAAACAAACCTTTGTGATTTCATACTTCAAATCTTTTAGCTTTAAACATCAATGATATAAGGATTAAAATTTAGGGTTTGATTAAGAGTAATCAGTTTCTTTTTATGCAATATATGCAAAACGGGTTTTATCATTTCATGATTGGGGTTTGTCAATTGTGTAGATAGTAGTATCTGTTATTGAGACATTAAATATTTTATATTAATCCCTTATCATTGTCATTTTAGGGTTGAATTAAATAAAAATATGGAAACAAGTTAAGAATATTTTATTTTATAATATATAATTCCCATATCTTTACAACCTGATTGTGTAAACCATTGATATTTAAAACTATTCGAATTAACAGAAGTCATGGTTTGATAATACATAAAATATAAACATCAGGTCGGAGAGAAATAAGGATTTAATATCAGATATTGCCGAAAAATCTTAATTCTTTTACCATGTATACTTTCAATAAATAAATCTTTGAAATAAAAGTTTTAAAAAAATCTTCATTACCTTATCCAACATCTTTATCATCATCTTTTTCATCTTTGTTGAACAGAACTCATTGATCCAAGGCAAATCATATTCAATCAGTCCAATATTCATAATTAAGTTTCGCTACTATGGGAGGGGGGAACCTCACTTGACTCTATCATGTACCCCCCCCCTTTGAAATAAAATCAACAAAATCACACATAGTTACACTATAATTTTAAATATTTTCTTAAAATTCAATTATATATACTGATTAACTTTATTGTATATAATTTATTTAAAATTTGATATCTTTATTTAAACATGAAAAGTGAAACCAAATGAATACTTTAGAAGTATTAAAGAAGTGATTAAATTTTCCTTTACAATTTATTATACACTTAGTTTTCATTTTAAATTTAAATAATACTATATTTAAACTTTCAGAGCGAATGATTTAGATAAATATCCGAAATGTTTATATAAAATCTACGAAATTTTACAAAAAACCGGTTTTGAGAAAGCTACTATGTAAATTTGTACATAGTTCAAATTTTTAACGCTTAAGACCGCCCTATACTAAAACCATTTAATATACTTTCTTTTTTTACTTTTTTAACATTGCAGTTGCACTACATTTATTTGTCATTTTTCTAATTTTGAAATGGATTTAAGTGCAAAATTTTCTAAATCGTAAAATTATACTTATACACATCATTATTCCTTACACACAAATAGACTGACTGATTAGAGAACTTAGATTCTATTAGCATTACTTGCTTAAGATTATTTAATTATAATTCTGAATACATTAAATGTGATGGTAACAATACCTAGGAAAGATATCTGGGTAGGGCGAGTCTAATCTTCTTTCTGCAAGGGTTCAGGACTCAGGAGTACATTATACATAGGTGTGAAAAATACCTCCTCACCAGTGTAATATATAACATTGGTTTTCTTTCTAATATCTTCCTATTTCCACAGCTCTGCTCGGGGGCATGGGCTAAATGCGGCAATTATAAAAGTTTTACGTCTACGTTGCAATATCACGTGAATTTAATGGTTCTGTCAATATCCCAGTAAGCTATGACTTTCGATCACAATTTCTCCTATTAAACATAATTTTTCAGCCTTCTTTCTTAAATACTTTTTTGTTGGCATATACGTTTTGAATAAACAAACAAATCCGTAAGCTCAAAGATTGTTAAAATATAAACCAAAACGCGTAATATTTCAAATAGAAGAAACAAAATGCCTCTAACTCTGGTTAGTCCGGGGTGATATGCATATCTCCTTTTAAGTTTATTATACTTTGTATTAATTTTTAATTTAAACAATACTATGAAATATTTAATAACAAATGAAAGAAATGTGTTTTAATAAAATCTACGAACTATAAAAAGCTACTTCGTAAACTTGAACTTTCTTATATCTGACTTGAACCTAGTTCCGAATTGTTAACGCTAGAGACCACCTTAAACAAATACCTTAACAGCTCATGAGACAATGAAAGTTTTATTTGGGTGTTCTAGAACAAATCTTAAACTAATTGAAAATTATCAAAGAATGCGTCCTTGTGCATGATGGCTTGCATATTGAAGTACAGACGAGCAGTACTACTTTTCTAAAGAACAAATATTTTCCGACAGTACTTTTTCAACTTTTTAAAAATCCACTCATCAAAGTTAGAGGTCTAATGTTTTTGTTTATGAGCTGGTTGGTATAGGAACATATGTATCACACTCCCTTATCTCAACTCTAAGAGAAAATTAAAAGGGGGACCCCCCCCCCCCCTATATATATAAGAAAAAAATAACCCAAATGGGATAGAGTTTACACGATCAGCTATAGATCTAAAAATTATATTTTTGAAAAGCCCTTGAAAAATGGATGTAGATTCATGTGTCACACTTTGATATCTGTTTAAAACAAACAAATATATTTACATTTTTCTTTACGCTTTTTTTTGGCTTTTTTTCCTACCCTCCCTAGCGCCCAAACTATAAAAGTTATCGGTCTGATTTTTTTTAATTAATTGGCCTTAAAAAATTGAGCTATGGATATGCATTTCAAGCCTTTACCTATTCTCTAAGACATTTTTCTAGGGGGGGGGGGGCTATATAAAGATTCATTTATAGGGTTAATTGGCATTACTGTCCCCTCTAAACAAATATTATTGGATAAAAGTGGAAATGTCGTTTTTATTTTAATTTTTTTTATTCTAAAAGATCTAAATCTAAGGACCAAAATAAATTCTGATATTTCTGAGAAATTATAAAAGAAGAAAAACATGATGTGTTTAAATCCTGTATCCGCCCCGTAGTACAAATTGGCGTTTTTATCAAAATTGGGGAATTTTGAATTTAAAGTTCTATTCTAATATATGCTAAAAATTCAAGTCAACAACTCATATTATCAAATATTCAGCGAGACGGTTTTACAATTTATTATTATTTATACAAACACGAATAATGATAGGAAAATACTATACGAATCAATAGTGCATGAATAGATAATCCAGGATGAGGAGGATCTCCAGGGCAACCTATTATCTAGGGAGTTGATGCTCAACTGCCTATTTTCCCCCAAGTTTCACTCCACCCTCGCCTAGATTAAACCCTAGCTACCCGGGATCTGGCCGGCCCTCTCCACCAGCCGCCCGGGCCTCTGGAATAACGGAACATTCGGCGTGGCTTGGGTTATCGGCGTGGCTTGGGTTATTTATAGAATTCACGTATAAACACGAATAAATCCGTTAGGATTCAAAAGTCTATCCAAGGGGTGAAGGGGGGGGGGCATGATACCCCTAGGTAGCTATGATCTCAGCGATCTAAAAAATCCCTTGAATCGCTGATCGTAAAAAATCAACAAAATCACACATAGTTACACTATAATTTTAAATATTTTCTTAAAATTCAATTATATTCTCCCCTCTTTTCATCGTAATGGATTTGCATATGCAAAACACACGAGCAGTTTATTTAAATTATTAGCACATGATACATTTTGTACTTTTGCAATGAAGGATGCATATATTGGATATCGAAAACTTATTACAACATTTTTAACACAATAATTCTTGATTACACTCTCGAGTTGTATTTAAAATGAAATTAAAATAAAAGTATCTATATAAAATATCTAAAATCTATATTAAAAAGGTAATAATGGATTCTAAAGCAGGCGCGTAAAAAGGATTTTAGCCAGGGGAGGGGGGAGTTTTTGTGCGAAGCGCTAAATTTGTTTTGCCCCCCCCCCCGGGCGATTTTGGTCCCCATGGCCTTAAAATTGCTGTTATTCTATATTAAGTCTACCACTTGTCATGACCCCTTTACTTAGTCCATTGTAGTCCCAATTCAAGGACTATGTATATATTATATCTCTCTGTAAAGTTCTGTATTATTCTCTGAAGTCCTCAGTAGTCTCTTGACTACTTAGGACTCATCAAATTCGGACTCAGGACCTCTACAGTTTACTGTTTTTTTTAAAAGGTTATATTGTATCACCCCCTGATATTCCAGTAATTTAACCAATTCACTTAGATTGATAAAGAGAATTTTTCAACATACAAAAAAATACAGCAACCAAGTGTAGAAAAAAGTATACTAAACTAGTTTTTAGGGCGCTTCGTGCCCATCCTCTATTTTAACTTTTAATTGTGGCTCTATATTTGAGTATCTCCTCTTTTTACACTATAAAAAGAAACAAAAAAGTTCGCAGATTTCATAATGTTTTTTTATATTTTAAAATTTCACAAAAATCAAAAAAATTTAAAGTCTGAGCATCCATAAACCTTCCTTGGGTCATGCGAGGTACCACGCAAAATTCGGGCCCGATTGGTTCAGCCGTTTTGACGTTTTTTGGACACAAACGGACAGACACCAAGACAGACAAACAGACAAGCAAAGTATTATACTAAATTCGTGAAGTTTCTGAGGATATTTTAGTAATATTATAAGATTTAATTGAAAAATACAATAATCAAATCATATTCATGAAAACCCATAAAAATATTGAAAAAAAGTGCAATTTTCTAATTTTCAATATCTTTGCACCTGATGGGGTAAACCGTTGGTATCTTTTAATTTGACTAATTTTGTTGGGACACCCTGCAGTATGAAGCATGCTAGTTCACGTGTATGCAAACATGTCAATTAAAAAAGTATTACCCAGATATACATATCTTGAAGAAAAGTGTTTTCTTTCACCAGTAAAATAGAAGAATAGAAGAATTGATTATTAGATAGAAAAAATGTCGAATATATTATTGCAATCAAGTTGAATCAATGCAGTTATGCAGATTTGTTCGGTTCTTGACCCTTCACCACCCCCCCCCCCCCAATCCTT